GTCGGACAAAGCAGCTCTTGCCACCCATGTTAGGACCCGTGATGATGGAAACTCGGTTCTCGGATGCCTGCAACACACGGCAGTAACAACAACAACGACAATGACAACAACGGCTCCTGAAAGAAACTGCAAAGGAAATCTCCCCATCTCTCACTAGTCTCTACAATCTGTCCTTCAGAACCGGAGAAATACCACAGGATTGGAAAGACGCAACTATTACACCCATCCCCAAGTCGGGCAACCCCTCCCATCCTACCAACTACCGACCCATCTCCCTGCTCAGTATAATATCAAAAACACAAGAAAAAATAGTCCACTCTCATCTGTACAATCACATAGCACCGCACTTACCCTCCAACCAATCCGGCTTCAGGAAACAAGACGGGACCGAAATGCAACTCGCACGGATCGTCCACCAGATATCCACAGCTAGGGATGCGGGGAAGCATGTTGTTACGTGTTTCTTCGATCTTAGTAAAGCCTTTGATCGTGTATGGCATCAAGGCTTGCTGAAAAAGCTGAGCCACTACGGTGTCGACGGCAAGGCTCACAAGTGGCTCGAAGCCTACTTGACAGGACGCAGACAGCGGGTGCAGGTTGAAGGCACAACATCCGCCTTCATACCAATACCAGCGGGAGTGCCCCAGGGCTCGGTCCTGGGACCACTTCTGTTCCTGGCGTACACCATTGACCTGCCCACTGCCTGTGAAAATGCTACAACCTCGTGTAGCCAGTTCGCGGACGACACCGCACTAATTGCCATTGCAGGCAGCTACATTGAGTGTGAGGCTGCGCTACAAAGAAGCGTCGATGCCGCAGCAGAATGGCTAGAGCGCTGGCACCTGCTAGTCAATAAAACGAAAACCGTCATCCTCCCGTTCTACCATGCTAACCGACCCCCACCACGACTACCCGAAATAAAACTTGGGCAAACCCTACTAGAAACAGTAACACAACATCGTCACCTCAGCATCATCTTTCAGCACGACCTAAGATGGTCAGCCCACCTTGACTTTGTGCTGAAGAAAGCCGTAAAATCTTTCAATATTCTCTTTAGGCTCAAATCAACTCTACACACTAAATCACTCTCTCTCATTTACAAAACATATATCCTGCCTCTAATTGAATATGCATGCATTGCTGTCACCCCGCTCTCAATCGCAGCCCTTGACCGTCTTGAGCGAATCCAGCGCAAGGCGGCCAGAATCTGCCTCCGTCTCCCCCTCTACACTCCTCTGAATCATTCAACACTGCTCCATCGGCTCAAATGGCCGACAATGTTCTCTCGCCGCAAAGTGAAGCTCACCCTTCTTGCTCACTCCATAAAATACCAATATGCCCCACAACACATACGCATGCTCAACACCCCCGCTCAAGTTACGGCCCAGTACAGCCTTCGACACGCACGCACTTGGCACCTCCCACCCTCCAGAACCGATCGCTGTAAAGACTCCCCACTGTACAAGTCCCTAGAATACTACAATGCCCTCCCTGCTAGCATTCGTGACGTCTCCTCCCGACCTGCTTTCAAACAAGAAATCTGCTCACTGCTGATTAACTCAATCTGCTCCTGCAGCGCTCACCCTCTCCCATACTTGTAAAGTTCAAAGTGATGTAAATCACTTTCCAACTGTTTAACCCACAATCTCACCTTCTCATATATTTATCTCTTATTGGCGATGGTGCCATCGTGAGAATAAAGAATTCAAAAATTCAAAAAAAAAAACAACAAGCAACAACTTTGTTTAGAGGTGGATGCATATTTTGTAGCTTTGCGTATGCAAGCTTGTTGTTAGTCTTTAGACTATACTGACTACTCATGGAAGACACCCAGTACCGTCCTTGAATTGGTGACAGCTTCCTCAAGTCTCTAACCCAGTGCCGTCCTTGAATTGGTGAGAGCTTCCTCAAGTCTCTAACCAAGTGTCGTCCTTGAATTGGTGACAGCTTCCTCAAGTCTCTAACCCAGTGCCGTCCTTGAATTGGTGAGAGCTTCCTCAAGTCTCTAACCCAGTGTCGTCCTTGAATTGGTGACAGCTTCCTGAAGTCTCTAACCCAGTGTCGTCCTTGAATTGGTGAGAGCTTCCTCAAGTCTCTAACCCAGTGTCGTCCTTGAATTGGTGACAGCTTCCTCAAGTCTCTAACCCAGTGTCGTCCTTGAATTGGTGAGAGCTTCCTCAAGTCTCTAACCCAGTGCCGTCCTTGAATTGGTGAGAGCTTCCTCAAGTCTCTAACCCAGTGTCGTCCTTGAATTGGTGAGAGCTTCCTCAAGTCTCTAACCCAGTGTCGTCCTTGAATTGGTGAGAGCTTCCTCAAGTCTCTAACCCAGTGTCGTCCTTGAATTGGTGACAGCTTCCTCAAGTCTCTAACCCAGTGTCGTCCTTGAATTGGTGACAGCTTCCTCAAGTCTCTAACCCAGTGTCGTCCTTGAATTGGTGACAGCTTCCTCAAGTCTCTAACCCAGTGCCGTCCTTGAATTGGTGAGAGCTTCCTCAAGTCTCTAACCCAGTGTCGTCCTTGAATTGGTGAGAGCTTCCTCAAGTCTCTAACCCAGTGTCGTCCTTGAATTGGTGAGAGCTTCCTCAAGTCTCTAACCCAGTGTCGTCCTTGAATTGGTGAGAGCTTCCTGAAGTCTCTAACCCAGTGTCGTCCTTGAATTGGTGACAGCTTCCTCAAGTCTCTAACCCAGTGTCGTCCTTGAATTGGTGAGAGCTTCCTCAAGTCTCTAACCCAGTGTCGTCCTTGAATTGGTGACAGCTTCCTCAAGTCTCTAACCCAGTGTCGTCCTTGAATTGGTGAGAGCTTCCTCAAGTCTCTAACCCAGTGTCGTCCTTGAATTGGTGAGAGCTTCCTCAAGTCTCTAACCCAGTGTCGTCCTTGAATTGGTGACAGCTTCCTGAAGTCTCTAACCCAGTGTCGTCCTTGAATTGGTGAGAGCTTCCTGAAGTCTCTAACCAGTATGGCCATCAGCCTCCAACACGCTCTGCTAGAACAAGCAGCTCAACCGCGCCGCCATCCTGGTCGGTCATCTCGCCGGATGACCTCAAACGAAACACCTGCGTCTTCACTGCACCCCGCGGCACCTAGAACCTGGCTGTTGCGGAGGCCCTCGCCGACTGCGGCACTAAAGACTTGGTTTGCGTCCAGATGGCCGCCAAACAACAATCCAAGGTAACATTTGAAACTCAGGACTCTGTGACTCATGTTTGCGCTGAGCCGGGCGTTACTCTCAACGGCGAAACCTTCCCCGTCAGTCCGCTTTTCTCCAACACAGCGGAAATTCAAATTCTTGACGTACCGATATGGGTTGATAATTTGGTTATCGACAATGCCCTGAACAAGTTCGGCCTTGTAGTGGGCAAAATTCGACATGGCCAGGTCAAAACCAGTGCTGGTCGTGTTGTAGAGACCGGGGTCCGTTTCACCTCATTTCGCTTCAAAACGCCAGCAACAAACATCCCCTCCTTTGTCCGAGCTGATGCCAAGAACATGTTTCGAGTACGGTACAGGAAGCAGCCACAGACCTGCCGAAAATGCTCACAGCCAGGCCGGCCAGGCCACACTGCCAACAACTGCACTGTAACTGACAGTTGCAGCGGAACGTACGCAGACCGTACCCGTACTACCGGTAGTACTGCAGCTACATGTAGCACGGACAGTGGCAACACAGTATCCCTGCCGCGTATGGACTCAGCGTGGAGCCTGGCGGTTCAACTGAACGACAGGTTTGAACCTGAAAAGTCAACTGGCAGCAACAACGAAGAGTCAGCCGAGGACTCCACAGTCAACAGCACCATCTCTGCCACCGCTCCGAAAGACGACCACTTGCCAAACCCCGCGTCAGCAAGCAGCATCCTGCTGGTCATTGCGTCCAGCACACCTCGTGAGCGAGATGCAGGCACGAGTGACACCGACAACACGAGCGACACCAGTGATGACGACGAACGCAGCATCGCGCTACTTCAACAAGTCACAGCAGCAGACGAGGGAGACTGGAAAACACACAGCAAGCGACGCTGCAGGCACAGCCAGCTGGAGCAGACACCACCCAATGTGATCCCGTTGCATCGTACCAAGGCCAAGAAGGCCAGGAAGTCAACAGTATAAATCTTTTCTGCAAATTCCATCATCAGCAACAGCAAAAAACATTTAAAAATGGAACACACTTTCAACTTCTTTAGCACCAATGTAAGGTGCTTGTTCAACAAGATGGACGAACTGCACTCACTCGCACGATTAACGGTTGATTCGCCTGCAGTGATGTTGACCCATAGACATTCGGAAAGTCTCTTTCCTGTCGTCTCGGATGAGGTATTCCCCGGTGGTCCCCTAAACAGGTGTACACAGTCCATTGCATCTGACTGTTACTGCACACCTGCACAGCACTTAACTATTTTCCAGAGTATAAGCCACACTGGAGTATAAGCCACAGTGGAGTATAAGCCACACTGGAGTATAAGCCACACTGGAGTATAAGCCACATTGGAGTATAAGCCACACTGGAGTATAAGCCACACTGGAGTATAAGCCACACTGGAGTATAAGCCACACTGGAGTATAAGCCACACTGGAGTATAAGCCACACTGGAGTATAAGCCACACTGGAGTATAAGCCACAGTGGAGTATAAGCCACAGTGGAGTATAAGCCACACTGGAGTATAAGCCACACTGGAGTATAAGCCACACTGGAGTATAAGCCACACTGGAGTATAAGCCACACTGGAGTATAAGCCACACTGGAGTATAAGCCACACTGGAGTATAAGCCACACTGGAGTATAAGCCACACTGGAGTATAAGCCACACTGGAGTATAAGCCACACTGGAGTATAAGCCGCACTGGAGTATAAGCCACACTGGAGTATAAGCCACACTGGAGTATAAGCCACACTGGAGTATAAGCCACACTGGAGTATAAGCCACACTGGAGTATAAGCAACACTGGAGTATAAGCCACACTGGAGTATAAGCCACACTGGAGTATAAGCCGCACTGGAGTATAAGCCACACTGGAGTATAAGCCACACTGGAGTATAAGCCACAGTGGAGTATAAGCCACACTGGAGTATAAGCCACACTGGAGTATAAGCCACACTGGAGTATAAGCCGCACTGGAGTATAAGCCACACTGGAGTATAAGCCGCACTGGAGTATAAGCCACACTGGAGTATAAGCCACGCTGGAGTATAAGCCACAGTGGAGTATAAGCCACACTGGAGTATAAGCCACACTGGAGTATAAGCCACACTGGAGTATAAGCCACACTGGAGTATAAGCCACACTGGAGTATAAGCCACACTGGAGTATAAGCCACACTGGAGTATAAGCCACACTGGAGTATAAGCCACACTGGAGTATAAGCCACACTGGAGTATAAGCCACACTGGAGTATAAGCCACACTGGAGTATAAGCCACACTGGAGTATAAGCCACACTGGAGTATAAGCCACACTGGAGTATAAGCCACACTGGAGTATAAGCCACACTGGAGTATAAGCCACACTGGAGTATAAGCCACACTGGAGTATAAGCCACACTGGAGTATAAGCCACACTGGAGTATAAGCCACACTGGAGTATAAGCCACACTGGAGTATAAGCCACACTGGAGATTCTTTGTCGTGACATACACACATCTACCTATAAGTATTATCAGCAGTAGGTAATTTGACCATCGTAGTATAGGCAGCAGTATACGCCGGAAAATATGCTATGTGATACTACAAGTGAAAAGGTGAAGGACAAAATGCTACGAGTTATGACTAACTGTCCACCAACGTAACCAGATCTTATACAGTCAGCGAGTGCGACACAATGGCACAAAAGTGACAAGGACATTTCGTTCTTCTCCTTTTCACCATAATTTAATTGGCTCACCACCCTAGTTGACACTACAAGTATCATACTTTTTTATCATACTCTTGAGCTGTTGCCAACCCCTCCCCCCCCCCCCCCCCCTCCGTATTCTTCTCACGCTCCTGTGTTCAAGGTTTCTTTTTCTCTGTGAGCTGCTTTGCCCGCTGTCTGATGAATGTCTTCTAGTTTATGGTCTGCTCTGTTCATGTTCTCTGATTGCTTCCTTGTGTGGGGTGTTAAGTGCTGTGGGGAGTGACAGGGTTGTTGGACACGCTACGGTCACTAAGGCATGTATCGTACCATGCGGGTCTGTTGCCCCAGGGGTATTCCCCGGTGGTCGCCTAACCGGGTGTGTCGCCTCAGGGGTATTCCCCAGAGGTCCCCTAACCTGGCTTGTTGCCCCAGGGGTATTCCCCGGTGGTGGTCCCCTAACCGGGTTTGCTGCCCCAGGGGTATTCCCAGTGGTGGTCCCCTAACCGGGTTTGTTGCCCCAGGGGTATTCCCCGGTGGTGGTCCCCTAACCGGGTTTGTTGCCCCAGGGGTATTCCCCAGTGGTGGTCCCCTAACCGGGTTTGTTACCCCAGGGGTATTCCCCGGTGGTGGTCCCCTAACCGGGTTTGTTACCCCAGGGGTATATTCCCAGTGGTCACCTAACTGGGTTCAGGCATTACCCAGCGTAAAACTTCTTGCACCAGACATCCCCCCCCCATGTAGGGGTAAAACACGTACATGAGCACCCCGACCTCCCTCTCCTAAAAACAAACACCCACAAAGCACACATGGTTCTGCTCTCTTTCTCACACACAACCCATACACACACTCACCGTCATGGACGCAGAGTTGGCGACAAATTGCGAGTCCGAGTCCACCGTGTTCAACAAGGCAGACACCACCGGATGCCAGCCGTTGACAAAACTCAACTCACATGCTTCACTGTCCTCTAGTAAGTACGGTCTGGGAATAACACACAACAGACACAGAGAGAGAGAGGTAGAGGGAGAGAGAGAGAGAGAGAGAGAGAGAGAGAGAGAGAGAGAGAGAGAGAGAGAGAGAGAGAGAGAGAGAGAGAGAGAGAGAGAGAGAGAGAGAGAGAGAGAGAGAGAGAGAGGGGGGGGGGGGATTCTCAAGCAGAACGTGTATGTGGGAGGATGGAAGGCTACAACTCACCACCACTGCCACAATTCAGGTTGTGAGTGCTGCTTCCCCTAGCTGCATCTCATGTTTGGCATTTAAGGTGGCTCATACCCAAATCCATACATCTTCACTCTCCAAACGGTCATACCCAAATCGGAAAATAAAAACGGCACGATTGATTTTGTTCAAAATTGCACATCTCTTTAATCATACCCGAATATTGTCAGTCCCAAAAAATGGGAAGGATTGAAACAGTTCTTCATAGTTTAAACCCGATTTAAAATTTCTGGTATTTTGGAGCATTTTGCACAAAACACATCCCAGCATTTTGCCTCTACTGTTGTATTGTTCAGACTAAATGTTGTAGTGTTCTTTTCAGGTATCTGAGTGGTGATTTCTGCGGTCAAGTCAAGCAAAATAGGGTGGCCGGGTTTTCTTTTTAGGGTTCTTGGCTGTCCGTACTAACAATCTCATTCGGTTTGGAACGCAATTATCGGTACAGCGGGGGGGGGGGGGGGGGGTGCTTCTCAAAATTGGCCCGATGGTTTTCTTCATTTCTTCAAGAAGTACAGCCAGCTACGTGGTTCATATGAAGTAGGCTTCTCCCCCTGGCCCCCGCCACACGACAACGAGAACTCTTGATCATATCTGCAATACTTATATTGTACCAAGAAATGACGAGGGCGCAGGAGGAGAGAGACAAACTTGGTGAGGACAAAACGACGACGGGAAGGACTCCCGGGAAAAGACTCAAAGAAAACAACAAGAACAAGCAGTAATATTGCGACGACAAATCGAGACGACCAATCAGGGACCAATACGTACAGAACACATGACCAAGACCAAGCCAACCAGACCACGGACGAATCACACACGACTCTCATTCCCAGACCAAACTAGCACTGCGCATGCACAACATTCACTTGACAGTCACTCTCACACAGACGGAAGCACATCCTCACACTCTGACAACGCGTACGCTTGCATGCACCACATACCATAAACGTCACACATCACACCATACTCGCGCGTACACCTAGACCATATATGACATCAGACACTGGACTCCACAAGACAAGAACCAAATACAACGACATGCGTAAATCATAGTCGTAATACAAATTCGCAACACATATGCTAAACATTAGGTATCAATGTGAAATTACTGAAATACCGTATATTCTCTATTATAAGCGCCGTGCTTATATTTTTTCAACACCCCTCTACCCCGTGCTTATATTGGAGACCGTGCTTATATTTTTTCAACCAATACAGAGCAAGAAGAAATGCATGCTAGATATCATAATAGAGACCGTGCTTATAATGTTTCGAAAGGTGCTCACAGTGTGCTAGTATTAGAGACCTGTGCTTATAATAGAGAATATACGGTACCTAATAGTTAGAACCGAAATTTTCGATGCATTTTATTTTAGCCTTTTTTTAGGTACTTGTATTTGTCAACACCGAAGATAGCGAAAATAAAACACCACCGAAAGTTTCTGCTTTTACAGTGTTTCTCTTGCTGGCTTGAGCACACCTAAGAACCTTCGGGAATCAGAGCGAAACGTTTAAGCTGTGTTCACAACTGGCGCGTGTACGCGTGAAATCACGTGAAATCACGCGTTTGTGCGTATTTTTGCTGGCTTTTGGGGCGCCATGCGTACGGAAACGCGCCGAAATGGAAATTCCAACATGTTGGAATTTTCAGCGCGTATCAGGCGCGTACCAGCGTACATGCCAGTCACTTTGACTGGCGGGGTCAAAAATTAGTACTCGAAGGTGTCCCACGCGCTAAATACGACTCGGATTGCTGTTTTTTGTGAAAGCCTGAGCGCACGTTTGGGCACGCATGAACCGCAAGCGTACCGCGTCCACGCGCCAGTTGTGAACATGTAGGGTCCTAGCCCTAGCACAACACTTAAAACGCACACAAATGGCGTAAATCGATAGAGTTGTATTATTACTGTAATATTGACAAAGCAATGAAAGAGAGATAGAAAGGCACTGACTTCGATGAAACCAAGCTATCTACTGGCCTAGAGCTCTAGGTTGAGAATGTCTTGGCCAGTAAGGAAAAGGGTGTACATGTGTAGTAATGACATAGTACAGTGACAGTGTGTATATGTCCTATATACAGATACGCTACGGTATAAATGCCTGGCGAAATACTAGGATGCATGATGGGATATATGCGTACAATCTGGAATCTGAACCAGAAGTAGCGTACACATTATAATTCCGGGAAATGGCCATAAAAATCAAAGTTACCGTTTATGGAAAAGCCAGGAGTGAAAATGGAGAAGTTACAGGTATGGGAACTGCTAAAGTCACCACAAACACAGCTTTAGCATGACACACTCAAGTGGAAAGAAAGGAATTCAAAAAGAATAAGAAAAAAACTAAAAAAGATCAGGTTCTACCGAGATTTGAACTCGGATCGCTGGATTCAGAGTCCAGAGTGCTAACCATTACACCATAGAACCCTATCTGGTAAGTGCACGGGGACATTTGAACTTCATGTCTTGCCAGTCCACATGCAAAACTACCGTCATGTACAGTGGATCCTCGAATTTCCGCCTCCTGTCAAATTTCTGCCTGTGCATGTGGCCGACGCATGCACTGCTGTACACAATACTTTGCCAGGTCCCTGATATGTGATAGATATTCATCCGTCTGTAGCTTCATTCCCTTTGATGCGAGGTCCGTTCTCAGTGTTGTTGGGAGTGTGGAAGGCGGCCGGCCACGGATTTTTTTTCTCGTCCTTTGTTTGCCAGAAGTAGGCTGTCATGGTCATTTGTGCTGGGGACCCCATGTCCAGTCTGCAGATGTGACCGAGTAGTCGTATCCGAGCAGCTTTTACCAGGACAGTTAGTGGTTGCGTCTCTGTTCTGCGGTGGAGGTCATCGTTGCTGATTATTTGTGGGTAGCGGATACCCACAACGACTCTCAGGTGTCTCCGATATGTCGAGTCAAGAGTACACAGCTGAGAGTATGAGAGGCCCCATGTGCCTGCGTTGTACATTAGCAGAGGCTTGATGAAGGCTTCGTAGAGCCTCACCCGTAGCTTTTCGGAGACCAGATGTCCGCGTGACCACACTGGTCACATCTTGTTGAATGTGCCCGAAGCAATCTGGATTCGTTATAACTTATGTATAGCTTTTACAATAATTGCAGTGGAGAAGTCGTTTTCACGGGTGCATGTCGTATCATGGACATGATAGAATATGCATGCATGAACCATACCGGTACCTATTTAGGGCACTATGTTTATCACGCTAGACTTGGCTGCAACAGACAGAGCCAAAAACAGTACGAGTACCAATTTCGGGCATGTATTTATTTACAGACTTTTTGCGGTGCTTTCCAAAGATGGCAGGCATAGTGGGATGGTCTAAGACCATGATTGAGAAACAGAGGGTACCTGGTTCAAGTCCTGCGGGAAGCGGAAGGATTTATTCCAGCCGTGCTGCGACCCACAGTTAATTGGGAACTCGTGGCCTGGCAGGAGGAAAACATGGATGCAGTGAATGGGATTTTCGGTCTTTGACCACATGCTGGTGAGCTGATCTACTCACCTCCCACCACTTTAGGAGCTGCATCTGCGCCTTGATCCTTGAAGGGTGGTGGCGTTCCAACGGATGCGGAAAACTCGGCCTCTATATATAGAAACCGAGTCTCATGCGAACCGTGACATTTTTTTTCCAAACATGGAATGGGCCGGATTGGACAATGGATCTAGGGAGTTATTGTTTTCACCAGTAAGTCTCCTGGAGGAATGGAACTCGTGGCCTGGCACGAGGAAAACATGGATGCAGTGAATGGGATTTTTGGTCTTTGACCACATGCTGGTGAGCTGATCTACTCACCTCCCACCACTTTAGGAGCTGCATCTGCGCCTTGATCCTTGAAGGGTGGTGGCGTTCCAACGGATGCGGAAAACTCGGCCTCTATATATAGAAACCGAGGCTCATGCGAACCGTGACATTTTTTTTCCAAAGATGGAATGGGCCGGATTGGACAATGGATCTAGGGAGTTATTGTTTTCACCAGTAAGTCTCCTGGAGGAATGTCATTGTACGCAGTCTCCACTGCATATCGTATTTTCCGGAGTACAAGCCGAACTGGAGAACAAGCCGCACCGCCATTCTTTGCCACAACACACAGACATCTACCATGGTAATCATAGTTAATTTGAACATCGGAGTAGAAGCCGCACAACCACAACCACATCCCCTCCTCCCCTCCTCCCCTCCTCCCCCCCCCCCCTTTTGGAGAGATATTTGAGTGTTCAAAGTGCCGCTTATACTTCTCTTAATTATTATTTTACAAAGAACACTATTAAATAGTATTTTCATGATGGACAGTTAGAAGCTGTATCTAAGAGTATATTATATCCAGCAGATAGAGTGAGTGTGTGGGAACTGTGAAGCTCAGCCGACCCGGACGTCTGGGCGTCATGGCTCGCCAAATGCTCCGGAAAATACGGTAGCGTGCACACAGCCCACAGCCCACAGCCCACAGCCCACAGCACACGGCCCAGGTGTTCCAGTCTTACCTAAAATACGGTAGCATGCACACAGCACACAGCCCAGCACAGCACACAGCCGTGAGGTGTTCCAGTCTTACCTACAGTAGCCGGGCTGAGACGCTAGCTTAGCCAACGACAGAAGGCAGTCGAGTACGGCCAAGTGACGCACGGCCTGTCGACACTGGCCTACCTGCCGTGAGCTGAACTCACTGTCACACACAACAACACAACAAAAAACACAAGGGGAGAGCGAGAGAGAGAGAGAGAGAGAGAGAGAGAGAGAGAGAGAGAGAGAGAGAGAGAGAGAGAGAGAGAGAGAGAGAGAGTGTGTGAGAGAGAGAGAGAATAATTATTCATGACGAGACAGATACATATGCGCATATATACAAGGGAGAGTTACCGAAAGATTTACCCAGAGTGCTGACAGTACTCAACACCACAAAGGCAGAGCGTAATACACAACAGAACAACAAGGACAATCAAGGCTTGTTTGCTGCTACTTCAAGTTTGATGCTCACGCAATCATCATGCAACATGAAGATCAGATGCCGACCATGCCGGTATATATGCCAGGAGAGGGGGATATAAAAAGCTGTGTGAGACTGTGGGGGCTAGCGGTGGTATTTTAGGCAGGGGGCTGTGTGCAGAGTGTGTGGTTGAGAGATATACAGAGAGGCGGACGGACAGACGGACGGTGATGGACGGATGGATGGACAAAGGAACAGACAGGCAGAAATACATACATACGGAAGGAGAAACATGTAGACCGATGGACAGACAGACATGCAGACATGCAGACATGCAGACAGACAGACAGACAGACACACACACACACACAGAGGTACAATGTACAGGGGAAAGACAGAGAGACAGGGACAGAAATACAAGAGAAGAGAAGGTGCCAGAGATGAAGAAGTTCTCCAGAGTTGATGAAAATCACACCAAAACAGTCGCTGAAAACTGGGAGCTGGTGGGGTGGGGGCTTGGTGGGAGGAGTGGAGAGAAATGTCACTCACTGTCCATGGCACATAGCCCTTGCAGAAAGTCAGTCAATTTCAGCAGAATTCCCTCACTAGCTACTTACTCTCCAGCCAAAAAAGGCACAAAATGTAGGAAAAAAAGGTTCTACCGAGATTTGAACTCGGATCGCTGGATTCAAAGTCCAGAGTGCTAACCATTACACCATAGAACCCTTTCTGGTGCTACAGCCATGCTGATGTGAAAGTAAGACACGGACGCCCTGGGAACATTTGTTAGAGTTGCTCTCAGCTGATGTGTTTGTGCAGTCTGTAACGATAATAACGATATGAACAGTGGCATATTGCCCGCATAAACAAATCATACGGGGGTCATGCATCTGTCAATGATCGTTAACCAGAGTTGCTTGTTGGTGGCGAGGTTGAGGCATTCCTGAATCGGCACATTCAGAGGTTTGAGGTCTTCTTTGGTGTTGTCGACCCATCTCTTAACTTCTCTTAACTGTAACGATGCACAACTCCAAAAAAAACACTATCATAGCATTGCACACTGTGACACAGAGCACTATGCGCCATGTGCCGGGTGTAAGATATCTCTATTCTAATAAATACTGAGCACTGTACCGAGCCGAAGGACTCTCATTTGCTATCGTAGAATTGCGTACATGACACCATGTGTTGCATCTAGACGCCCAGTGTTATGGAATCACGGTCATTTCGAGCCCCGGGGCACACTGACACAGAGTACGCTAACTTGACTCACAGGATTGGACTTCACAGAGCATCAGCACCGTAGATGAGCAAACACATGTACAGTTGCACTCACTGAAATCCGACCCAAAGTTCAAAACTGACGCTTCGGACCACGGGTTCCGATTACATCAATGTACTGGCACATGTGTACGTCCAGCCGCATTCGTACCGGTTTCCAGGGCCAGGTCAAGGGCCGTGCAAGTTTAGGGTGCAAGATACCATGGCTGGTTATAATCGCCCACATCATATTTACATTGGCTAACGCCACATGACTGTGCGTAATAATAATAATTTTAAAAAAAGACACACTTTGATGCCGTGGAATGTCTGAGTACTCCTTGTCAGTTTTGTGCTAGATTGTGCACGTCTGACTGCTCGAAATCCGGTTTAGTCAGTGGACTCGATCGCATAACTTGTGCCCACAATTTCCATGTTACAATTTTTTTCCTTGGCTTACCATCTGAGTTCTTAAAAAACATTTTGGGTTGGATTTCACCGCGCACAATTGTAGATGCACACAGTATGTACACAGTACAGGACACAGTACAGGACACAGTACAGGACACAGTACAGGACACAGTACAGGACACAGTACAGGACACAGTGCAGGACACAGTACAGGACACAGTACAGGACACAGTACAGGACACAGTGCAGGACACAGTACAGGACACAGTACAGGACACAGTACAGGACACAGTGCAGGACACAGTACAGGACACAGTGCAGGACACAGTGCAGGACACAGTACAGGACACAGTACAGGACACAGTACAGGACACAGTACGTACACAGTACAGGACACAGTACAGGACACAGTACAGGACACAGTACAGGACACAGTACAGGACACAGTACAGAACACAGTACAGGACACACTACAGGACACAGTACAGGACACAGTACAGGACACAGTACAGGACACAGTACAGGACACACTACAGGACACAGTACAGGACACACTACAGGACACAGTGCAGGACACAGTACAGGACACAGTGCAGGACACAGTACAGGACACAGTGCAGGACACAGTGCAGGACACACAGAGATATTCTCACCTGAGGAACAGCTGCCAGGCAGTGTGTGACTGCTGCGACAGCGTTTCACGCAGCAGCGCACGCGTCTTGAGCCGCTCCACGATGAACGGGCTGCGATAGCGCCCCGCTTGCTTCGTCCTGCAAGGGAGCGAACAAACGAGATGAAAGAGAGTGCAGGACACGAGTCGCATACATGTACAAGACGAGAAGAAGTGAGTATTGACTGCATGATTGAATGCACTGTATGCCTACAACGTGCCATAAGACCTCCAGTCCGAGCAGTCGGGAATCTCACTGATATAAATACCCCGTCGCTTGAATAGACAGTGAAGGGATGCATGGAGATTGGTGAGTAATAACCCATTCCCAACAGTCCTCCCCCATTCCCAACAGTCCTCCCCCCGCCCCATATATTATGAGTACTCAAGTGAATGGGGGAATGGGGGGGGGGGGGGACTGCCTTTGCTGTGGGTAGATATGATTGGACACGACCTGGGGGCAGCACAGATCTCTCTGCGGAGAGCGCTCTCCAAGCGGCGGGAGACAGACACGCTTAGCTTGACACTGTTGAACTGAACCCCGTTCCAGTCCAGCAGGTCCAGGGAAGATGCAAGCTGTACGTGTGTGCACTCATACCTCGGCTGTCCAGACTCCGAAGTGTCGGGCATTTCAGACTACCAGGCACCCTTTGGGCGAGTTGCAGTAGAAATATTACTACTCTGTTGTCACTTTTCGTGACGTCATAGGCCACATCCATGGTCTTTCCCCATCAAAATGTGTGTGATTCGGAGTTCCGGACATTTCAAAGTTACGGGCAGTGCCCGATCCCAGACTGCCCGGATAAACGAGGCATATATGAGTGTACTCGTACTCAATCTGAGGACAGCATGCTGTTTCGTTCTTTGTGAACTCATCAGCGCAGCACAGAGGAAATGAGGCCGAACCTGATAGCAATGAAAATAAAATTTCCAAAGCCAGATTTAAACCAGGCCCGAACGTACCTTGCCAGAGTGCTCAAACTGACAAGTCAATGAGCTCTGCATAACAAGTGTACTTGTATGTATTATTAAAAATTGGATGGGCAGATTTTGCCGTTCTTTTCTCGGCCACACAGTAGCTTAAAACCATGGCAAATCAGTTTGAAATCACACTGGCAGGTCAGTGAGGTGTGTGATCATCAAGTCCACTGACAAGAAGAAGTACGACTACGAGATCATTGTCTAACGCAAAGAGAATGTCCAGTGCAGCCGACTCGCGGAAGCATGGCGTGGCGGAAAAGGCGCCAGACGGTGGCAGCGCAGGCTATCCCAGTACCTGTATTGGGTCGTGAGCAGTACTGAAAAAGCCATTATTCTAACCAGGCGCATATAGAACGAATTCCCAAAAATGACTGATTTACGTGTACCAAAGGTAACGATTCTCACGCATTCTCAACGCTTAATAGAATAGTATATGTATCGATTTCTGTATAACGATTTATATTTTAACAACAGATTTCTCCTCGCTAACTTGTTAGAATTAGCACTTCGTTATATATATATATATATATGGCTTTTACAGTACCCTGTCACCGCCCTTCATGAACAAATAGAAATCTCTCTTTGATAGTGCCATGCCATTAGGGAGATGTTGGAAAGAACAGAAGCCCCCACCCGTTGTCCCCAGCCCCGGCCTCTGGGATTGCTAGCATGGCAGTGCAAGACATTGACATGCATTGGAAAAGGAGACGCAATGTTGTGGTCATGGACTTACGAGTTGATCTTGTCCCAAGTTTGCGGCACTTTGTGTTGGAGCTTGCCAGGAACCTCCACTAGATACTGTGTGGCACAGAATAGCAGCAACAACAACAATGATTATGAAGACGATGACGACAACAACTCATGGTGCATGGTGGTGGCGGCAGCGGCAGTAGCAGTGAAGATGACAACAATGAAACAACAACAAGGAAGTGTGTGAGTAGGAGTAGCGTGGGCCGCAGTCAGCTAAAACATGTCTGGGGGTTCGTAAATCTTCGGAGACATGACGGAATGAAGAATAGTTTCTGTTGAGCACGTTCACGCTGTGCTTCATTCATCACCCGGTGGCGTGAGCATTTTGTCAAACTTCGTTCTCACACTTATTCGGCGGTCTACTCCATGCAGCTGGTGAGCAAAGTGACATTTTTCTGGAATACATTTTTTCACCCCAGGCATGTTTTAGCTGGCTGTGGCTCATGTCATGATGTCATGATGATGTCATGATGTCATGACTACAGCCAAAAGAAGAGCTCGCTTACGTCATCGCCCGACACTGTCTTGTACTCCAGAGCGGGTATGCCAAGCTTTAGGCGAACCTCGCGACGATGCGCCAGCAGCTCGTCGTCAATATCTTTTAGAGCCTGCACGTGGACACACGCAGATGCATGTGAACATACATAGACACACGCAGATGCACGTGAACATATATAGACACCATGATCCGTTCCGCACAGGAGAATGCAAAACTGGTTTCAGCAGACTCTGACGGTGATGCTCGGGGTGTAGCTGTTGTGCGAGATCTGGCGCAAAAGCAGACATGCATTCCTGAAAGAGACTGTGAGATGAACTCTGCACTCCCGATCCAGTCGACGAAACCATTGAAAGAGATCATGTATACAACTCTGCGTACAAATCAGTTGCATGCATTCAGCAGATACACGTGAAGTCAAGAGAGAAAGAGGACACCAACAGTACAAACAATGCTGGGAGAATAAGTAATTCTGCCTTCACCGAGGAATCAACGGAATAGGATTCCGATGACAAAATGGAATTGAAGAGTGTGTGCATGGTAGGGAAATCCAGGATAAACAGAACTGTGGGTTTTCAACTACATGTACAGAACACATGCAGTGCACACAACACATGCAGTGCACACAACACATGCAGTGCACACAACACATGCAGTGCACACAACACATGCAGTGCACACAACACATGCAGTGGCTCCGAGAATCTTCAGTGAAGCGAGGAGATAGCTACCTTCTTCGTCGCCGCCAAATCCGGGAACTTGGACAAATCAGTGAAGAGCGCCGTCTTGTCGCCCGACCTGCTCACGCATGAATGTACACGCGTGCATGTGCACACACACACACACACACACACACACACGCACGCACACACACACACACACACACACACGCACACACACGCACGCGCGCACACACACACACACGCGCACACACGCACACACACACACACAACAGCAGCAGTGCCAGCAGGAGATGAAGCAGCAGCACGAGACGGCGAGAGATAAAATTCACTTCTTTCTCACACCTCGCATCAGCCATAACTAGTGCAGGGTTGGCTGCGAACGGCCATATTGCAAGACAAAAAAGGTGTTCAAAAAAGGTGTTCGTCACTCGAAAGAACAATGCTTCTCGTTTATTCCAAATATTCAGCCAACGAGACGCGTACACTTATCATAATCACAACCATCAGGTCCTCATATCCCTGAGACAGTCAGCCATTATTGAACACACATACAAATACCATACCACAGCCAGATAGCTATGCCATGATGCATAGCATTACATCATTGAACACAACCACATAGCCTTTTTTTGTGACATAGGCAATCCATGCAGCAATGCGCTCCAGTCTTCTACATTTCAGCAACACTGAGCTGCTCAGATCACCCTCACCTCGCTGCACCAGGATCCATGCAGTCCAAGAAGCGCTGCACCCCGCTCAGCAGAGCCGGTACCTGTGAGAGTAAATGCAACAAGACAGTGCAGCATTGGGGTTTTCTCAGTTGGTTGGCTGGTGATCTGCACAATGCATGGCACACTTCACTCGCACCACACATCAACGTCGGATAGAAACACTGCGATGCAAACACGGTAAATGAGAGGATGTTCGCAGATTTCCAAAATGCTTCTAATACTTTTAAAATTACTAATAGTGATACAGAAAATCGTCAGAAGTCAAGTACAGCCCTACCCGGGTAATCCGAGCCCCGGTTATCCACACTCCATTTATCCAAACTCCATTTATCCATTCATTGCATTCCCAACTCATCACAACCACGCGCTCTTCAGCCGAACCATACAGACACCAGCAAGGACACTTCCGTTGAGAGATAATAATTATTGCTCCACGCCTCTAGGCCTGCATACATGGACATTGCAACATCATAATAATAAACAACATACATGTACTTTCCTTTGGCATCAGTATTCCGCGTAAGATTTTCGTCGCCTGTGTGGTGTGTTTCTCCACCAATGAGCGCGTACTATGATTATTTATCGCTGTTCTCACACTTTACCATTTTAGCAGCTTGCATATGCCATTGATATATGTAGAAAGCGCGCACTTGCGCCATTTCTTGTGTATAAGAATGATCATTCCTCCATTATCATCATTATCATCCTCTACTGATGAGCTCCGACAGGGAGCGAAACAGCTGTCTAGAGGCGTGGAGCAATAATTATTATCTCTCAACGGAAGTGTCCTTGCTGGTGTCTGTATGGTTCGGCTGAAGAGCGCGTGGTTGTGATGAGTTGGGAATGCAATGAATTGAAAATATGGCCGAAAGCTCTGTCGCAATATTTAGTTCTGAAGTTTTAATGCGCCGTTAGTGGCAGAGCAGAGTGGACACGAAGAGTCGGTGAAGAAAGAAGGAGAGATGACAAGACGAGTCGGTGAAGAAGGAAGGAGAAAAGCAAGACACATCTGCAACATCTTTGTTTGATCAAAATGAGCTGAGCTGCTGATACGGGAGTTTTTGGACGGACAACTCCCGACACATCAACATCTCCTGGCACAACAAAAGGCACATTAGTTAATTAAAATTCATACTATTATTACAAAAATATTTGGATGAGACCTGACCGGTTTCTGCACATAGAGTGCTTCATCAGAGGAATGAAAAATGTTGTCTCTGACTATAGCTTATATACACAGCAAAAGAAATCAACAGATGCAGTAAAAGATGCGATAGATGCAATGCAGTTGCAATCATAGGGGTGACTGGCAACAAATGCAGTAAAGGTGCAATAGGTGCAATGCAGTTGCAACCATAGAGGTGTCTAGCAACAAATGCTGTTGAGAGCGAAAAAAGCGCAATGCTGCTATAGAGTTATACTGTAGAGTTCATAAACCGCGGGGTTAAGTTGTATAATCCAGGAAGGGTGCGTGAACTGCAGGTAAGGTTAAAAGCTAAAAGTTGTATTTTTGGTTGGTGCCAGAAATTTCTGGCACCAAGTATAGGATATTACCCAAGTACGAGGGTGTTACCTCCCGAATATCATCCCGACTGCGTAGCAGGAGGGATGATATGAGGGTACGGTAACACCCGAGTACGCGGGTCAATATCCTACTTATCCCAGGTACATCTACGCATTTTGGGGATCGACGCAACTGCGTTCTGAATACAATTACCAAGGTACAGCTATACCAAAAACAAAATGCTGCCTTTCTTTTCCATCCAGTCAAGGTTTGAGAGCGATGGAGCTCGGGAGACAAGTTGCATTTTAGTAGTTGGACGAGAGAATTGACGAAGATTGCACTGTTATGATACATAGTCATTTGGTTCCAAGTAAGGGCCCTACTTCAAGTCACAGCGAGATACAACGTCATTATGGATGCTGGTGCTGACTTCCTAATTCCTTGTCATTGGATCGGCGTGGAACTTTCAACGGTTTGGGATCCTTGCTGAACACTGTCCGTGCAGCAGTAACCACATTGTACATATCGTCGGACATTGGCACCAGTGAGTAAAGTGCATTTCGTTGTATCAAGACTCTTCGTTGTATCACTATCGGCCACTATGCAATCAGAAGAACGTTGATCTTGTTATATTATAGGCATACTGGATTTGTAGCAGCATCTACGTTTTAGATTGTTCTTGTGGTAATCGCACTGGATACAATGTCATGATAATCACTGCGGGTCGCATCTTGCATCCATATCTTATCTACATCACACATGGATTGCTGAGCTCTCCTTCTTTCACACCGTGTTGAATATTCTGTACAAGATTTTTCCTCTCACTTTCACGTCTTGCACTTTTCGTGTTGTTACGGTATCTCTCCTTGCAATTAGTAATTTTCACTCGGATGGTGATACTTTGTGTAGTTTTCGAGTTTACAAAGAGTGAATGAGAACAGATGCACTTCGAAGTCTCCTTTGTGTCGTAGTGTTGAGTTGAATAGTGATTGGAGTTCGTTGTTTCTTTGTGTGGAATCTGGTTTTGGACGTAGTCGCGGAGGTAAGTTCTCTCCGTTCACTTTTGCTGTACCGACGGTGCACTCTGCATTGGCATGCTCCCACCCTCTCACGGTTCTGTGTAGTGCATTTTGTCGCTGGGTTCTGATCGAAAGGCTCCAGTGGCAAGATGCATTGCATCGAATCGAGAGGGGGTGGGGGCATGCCAATGCAGGGTGCACCGTAGTAGGTACGGTAAAAGTGAACCCAGTTAATAATGAATATCATCCCGCGCGGGATTGTATTGGCTATTATTTCCCGGTCAGCAAGGCTCCTGATTGGCTGAAACAGGCCTATAGTACCGTACCATGGGATAACCAAAAATACAACTTTTAGCTTTTAACCTTACCTGCAGTTCACGCACCCTTCCTGGATTATACAACTTAACCCCGCGGTTTATGAACTCTACAGTATAACTCTATAGCAGCATTGCGCTTTTTTCGCTCTCAACAGCATTTGTTGCTAGACACCTCTATGGTTGCAACTGCATTGCACCTATTGCACCTTTACTGCATTTGTTGCCAGTCACCCCTATGATTGCAACTGCATTGCATCTATCGCATCTTTTACTGCATCTGTTGATTTCTTTTGCTGTGTATATAAGCTATAGTCAGAGACAACATTTTTCATTCCTCTGATGAAGCACTCTATGTGCAGAAACCGGTCAGGTCTCATCCAAATATTTTTTGTAATAATAGTATGAATTTTAATTAACTAATGTGCCTTTTGTTGTGCCAGGAGATGTTGATGTGTCGGGAGTTGTCCGTCCAAAAACTCCTCTACTGATGAGCTCCGACAGGGAGCGAAACAGCTGTCTAGAGGCGTGGAGCAATAATTATTATCTCTCAACGGAAGTGTCCTTGCTGGTGTCTGTATGGTTCGGCTGAAGAGCGCGTGGTTGTGATGAGTTGGGAATGCAATGAATTGAAAATATGGCCGAAAGCTCTGTCGCAATATTTAGTTCCATTTATCCAAACTCCATTTATCCCAACCATGACTAATTAACAAAACCCCAGCTACAAAAAACAGGGTGTATGGGTGATCTCGATATTCAGAACATGGCTTCAACACAGCTTTCCCTAAGACAAAAGTGTTTGGATAAGCCAGGTTGAAGGTACTAAGGATATAACAATTTCTTCACTTAGCACTCAGTTGAAGTTAGTAGTGAATATAAAGTAATTTTTCGAGGTCCCTTCATATCCTTGGCCAGTAATTTGACTTTGGATATACTGTACCTCGGGCACAAGGTACAGATTTGTATGTCGCTTGCATGTACATTCAAAGTTCAAAGTTCTAAGTTCTAAGTTTTGCTAATGAAGTGTTAGTGTACATGTACATATACATGAGTGATTACCTCGTTGAAAGCCTCAGAGAGCAGACTGCACTGCAGCAGAGTCAACGCTTCGCATTGGGCAGCTTGAACTTCTCGTCGTGCCAACAGCAGTGCCTGCAGCGTGCTGAAGAAATCACCCGTGCTACACTGGACAGCACATGTACATACATACACACACAAGTACATGTAAACACACGTAAACACATACATTGGTGGAAACCAAAGTTTTGGGGATTTCAGGGGGTGTCGGCCGTTGGGCGGTTCAATAGCCAATTGAGTCATCTTTCCGAGATTCCTTTTGAGTCTCTCTCCCCTCTCCCGGGGAGACCCACGTGACCAGTTTTGGCAGTGAGCAACAAGTACAAGTGCACGAGTGTATGTGTGTGGGTGTGCGTGCGTGCGTGTGTGGGTGTGTGGGTGAGAGAGAGAGAGAGAGAGAGAGAGAGAGAGAGAGAGAGAGAGAGAGAGAGAGAGAGAGAGAGAGAGAGAGAGAGAGAGAGAGAGAGAGAGAGAGAGAGAGAGAGAGAGAGAGAGAGAGAGAGAGAGAGAGAGAGAGAGAGAGAGAGAGAGAGAGAGAGAGAGAGAGAGAGAGAGGGAGAGGGAGAGGGAGAGGGAGAGGGAGAGGGAGAGGGAGAGGGAGAGGGAGAGGGAGAGGGAGAGGGAGAGGGAGAGGGAGAGGGAGAGGGAGAGGGAGAGGGAGAGGGAGAGGGAGAGGGAGAGGGAGAGGGAGAGGGAGAGGGAGAGGAGAGGGAGAGGGAGAGGGAGAGGGAGAGGGAGAGGGAGAGGGAGAGGGAGAGGGAGAGGAAGAGTGAGAGGGAGAGGGAGAGGGAGAGAGAGAGAGAGAGGGGGAGAAAGAGAGAATAGGGCGAGGCGAAAGTAAGACAGTAAAGAGAAGCCTACCTTCTTATGCACGATAGAACCCAGGCCTTTCTCAACGTCGGGTAAATGGCTGAGCAACGCTTTGGACTGCCTGACACACAGGGACTTGAAATTGGCACAGAGCTCTTCCACGGCCTCGTGACGAGCCACAATTGCACTATGCACACGAAATGACAAAGATGACAACCATAGAGTCTGGGTATTACACGCCTTGGCATTCGTCTTGTTGAGCACTCTCGGTAGGCTGCTTTAGTGCTGCTCCGCTATCCATCGCTTACTACTTTTCGTAGTTGGAGCACTCTGGCGCTAGAGCAACGAGCTATCCAAATGTCTGTGTTGCCACCTTTGCACCACAGCCAGTAGTTCAGCTTACTGCAAGTGCGTAGCTGTACTGATAAGGCCTAGATGACCGAAACAGCTAGCTGTCTACAGCCATGGGAAGTCCAGCCGAATTTGACAACTGGACTGACTCACGACTGCCATCCCGAGCACACGAGGAGCACGTCGCACCTTCCAGTATCCAGTGTCAAATTCGGCAAGAAGCGTGTGTTCCTCGTTAGAGCAATCAACTTTATGACTGATCACCGCCGAAGTCGCAACTTCTAAGTTCATAATGTACTATATGAGTTACACCATATCACGTTTCTCGTGTCCGGCTAAATGAGATCAAATCGCAAATGCTGACACAAGGAGAAGAAAAAAAACAGTACCTTCTCCTCAGCAAGGGCTTTGCAAGCCACTGACGGAACAGACGGCGTCCAAACGCAGTGCTTGTGTTGACCATGGTCGAAAACAGACTACCACGTTCACTGCCGTCCACCTGCAAACATATATCCGCCCAGCCACACACATACACACATATACACACACGGACGCACGCACACACACACAAACTTACAGAAGGAAAAAACCATGAACACATGTCCATACCCGGAAAGCGCAAACTCAAGAAGCCAACTGCAGAACTTGTTAAACAAGACTTTCAAGTAGCATCAAGCATGCACCCAGCCAATACTTACCCCATTGGCAAAGATCTCCAAGCTGCGTAGAGACTGCTCTGTCAACGTCATATGCTGCCTCGTATTACTGAACTGAACAAAGTTCCTGTGGAAGAAAGGAAGAGAAGGAGGGAGGGATGGGAGAGAGAGAGAGAGAGCGAGAGAGAGAGAGAGAGAGAGAGCGAGAGAGAGAGAGAGAGAGAGAGAGAGCGAGAGAGAGAGAGAGCGAGAGAGAGAGAGAGAGAGAGAGAGAGAGAGAGAGAGAGAGAGAGAGAGAGAGAGAGAGAGAGAGAGAGAGAGAGAGAGAGAGAGAGAAGATGCAGACAAACACACACACACACACACACACACACACACAAACACACACAACTCATAGACGCAGGATGGCATCACTGCACCTATTCACAAACAAACGAACCAATTGACGAAAAGGGAGATGGACGGACACTGTGAATAACGGACAGGCATACAGGCAGACAGGCATACAGGCACACAGGCATACATGTTGCGAAATTGTATTACGACTATGATTTACGCATGTTGTTGTATTTGGTTCTTGTCATTTTGGTCATATTTTTCAACTCAAAATGGGTGTGGCATGAGAATAGCAAAAAGTATGTGACCAATTCTTTCTTGCTAGGTCTTAGAAGATATCGAGAGTTGAATAAGATAATTTTTTCAAACACTAACATCTCAGGCTCATCTCCTTGCTCCATATTACTAAGGCCTGTGCCCTATTTTTCGAATCCTATATAATTATAGGATTCGAGATTATATTGGACCTTGTTTTATCCTTAAAACTGGTAGTTTCATGACGGCATGTGCGATATGTCATCATGAAACCACCCCGTACCACACCTGCAATGTTCTTCTGCACATTCACTGCCTCAGTCCTTTCCATGACAGCAGCTGAACAATTATGCTCAAACTTCCAATTATTGCTGAAAATGGGTATTCATCAGAAATATTATCACCCTATGAATCTAAAATGTAAACATTCATGCCTCAAACATATTTACAACTTCCATGAAAACCATTATGCCATTATTATTGGTCGTGATGACCACTAACAACGGCATAAAAGGCACACCTTTTCAAATCCTATATATAGGATTTTTGGCCAGCAAATTAAGAGATAGTCTAAGTGTACGTGCGAGTATGGTGTGATGTGTGACGTTTATGGTATGTGGTGCATGCAAGAGTACGCGTTGTCAGAGTGTGAGGATGTGCTTCCGTCTGTGTGAGAGTGACTGTCAAGTGAATGCTGTACATGCGCAGTGCTAGTTTGGTCTGGGAATGAGAGTCATGTGTGATTCGTCCGGGGTCTGGTTGTCTTGGTCTTGGTCATGTGTTCTGTAAGTATTAGTCCCTGATTGGTCGTCCCGATTTGTCGTCGCAATATTAATGGAAGTTTCCGGAGGAGGAAGGAGGAAACTGTAGTTATCACCAACCCTCACCGCGCCCAGCTCACGCCGCGACGGCGTGCGACCTGAGCTGGGCGCCCTGCCCAGTATGGAACTGTCCTCAAGCCAGTCACGTATTTGGCAGCCCAGTGAGCTGTCTACCGGATCGCAGCATTTAGAAGCGCCAAATGCGGCAGGGCCAGTCTCAGGCTGGCCGCATAGGCGGCAGGCCGGCGGGCGACCGGCAAGGCTGCATTCGCATTTGGATCACCGAAGTGATACAGGTGCTTCGACGGCACTCCGTGGCGCATCAAGGAGGCATCTGGGGCCCAGGCAGCCCGCCCGTAAGCGCACCACCGTATCAGGTATGCGCAGGTGGAGCAGCAGAGCAAGATGTGTGCCGGACACTCACCATCATCCGGTCGACTGCATGGTTGTGCGACTTTACACAGCCGTCACTCATTACTTGCTATTGCTTGCAGAAGGCCAGAATTTTTTTTGCTCTCGTTTGCTCTAAAGCTAGTTGGTTTACATGGTTTATACCCGTACCTGAGCATGGATCCTACTCAGCAGCGGATCGCTGATATTCCTCGTTTGAGACCGCGGCGACGGCAGCGTCGGCCCTGACCAACAAGCCTCGGGCGATGAGCATGCCGGCCGAAAATGCAGGCATGGACACTGTCGTGCATGACCAGTTTAGTTGAGTTCCTTGGAGGCGCTATGATGCCGGCCGGCGCATGTGTTGGCGCACGGGAGACGATTAGGACAATGCGGCGTGCGGAATACTTCGAGCTGGCCACAATGCTTCCTTCCTGTCCTGCCCACACGCAGCCAGCAGCCAAACGTGTTAGAATCGATCAATCCGATGGCAATCACTGAGTGGAATTGTCATTGGCGGCTCCTCTTCTGGCAAGAGAAAAACTGAATCTCTAATCTACTGGGTCGAGGCCTGGCAGACTTTCAGAACCATCGCGCCTTGCAACACGAGCTTACGCCCTCTGGGGCCCTAAGTAGTCCGACAAGAAATTCATACTGCACGGCGACAAAAAGGCAGTTGGAGCAGTCTGAAATCCGGGACTTGCCGAAATCCAACCGTGACGGAACTAGCCCACTTCAGCCCCCGCATGGTAGCAGAACACAAGGCTTTATCTCGCTGACTACCCATATTACGGCCACGGACAACTCCGCTGCGGACGCTCTTTCACGCGGACGATTAGTCCATTTCCTCTCTTCGGCTCCCTAATCCAGCTGCTGGACTCGGCTTAGTCCCGAACTCATGCTATGCGGGAGCAACTAATCATGGCAGCAAACCGGCTGAACTTCTTCTCAACCAATGCGTGCCTCCTTTTTCATTCGCTGTGTAGTCTATCTCTCTCAGCACACGTGGGTAAGCACGCAAGCACACACACACCCACGCACACGCATACATACATACATACACACATACATACATACATACATACACACACAAACACATACCCTCTCTCTCTCTCTCTCTTTATCCTCCTCTCCTTCATCCCTCACCCTGCTTCGCCTCTAAGTGCTGTCGCTCCCCTCCCCTTCCTACTCGTACTAGGCGGCATTACACCAAGTCTCAGCATGCGGGGTCTACTTTGCTGTTTTGGGGCTTTGTTTGGACATGGCGAGCTGTTATCTTTTTCCTTGCGGCTGTCGTCGCTGTTGCCATTGTTGTTTAGATACCACGGCGAGCCGGCAGTAAGTGCCGGTGTTGGCGGGCTGGCGACCTTGTCTTACTTTCAGTAATTAACACTTTACCCGAGGTGCGACGGACTAATCCGTCACGACCGCGCAGGGCATATTGCAGACACGCGTATGTGCGTTACACACACACACACTCACACATTATGCGCACCCGGCGGGCAGGGCGATTGGCCCATGCTGCTTATTCAGTTGTACTAGCGGAGGCAGGGGCGATTCCCCTTCGTAATCGCCCGTGCGGCGGAATACCCGGCGGCCTGATACGGCGGCGGTGCGAGCAAATGCAGGGGTGGTTCCCTTTTGAGCTCTGTTTGTGGCGGCGGCAGAGGCAGGGGCAGCGCCCCTAGCCCATGCGGCGGTTGACCCGGCGGCCCGACATGGCAGTTGACCCAGCGGTCCGGTATGGCAACTGACCCGGCGGTCTGATATGGCGGCTGACCCAGCGGTCTGATATGGCGGCGGCGGCTGACCCAGCGGTCTGATATGGCGGCTGACCCAGCGGTCTGATATGGCGGCTGACCCAGCGGTCTGATATGGCGGCTGACCCAGCGGTCTGATATGGCGGCTGACCCAGCGGTCTGATACGGCGGCTATGCGAGCAAATGCAGGGGCAGCGCCCCTTTGCGCGTGTTGTTTGCGGCGGCATTGGTCAAGGCAGGGGCAGCGCGCCTCGCCTGGGTGGCGTTATGCCCGGCGCTGCGGCTATGTTTGCAAAACGCAGGGGCCGCTCCCCTTTGAGCTTCGTATGTTCACAGCTATGTTTGCAAGATTCAGGGGCAGCTCCCCTTGGGGCCCGGTACAGTTATGTTTGCAAAAAGCAGGGGCAACTCCCCTCCGAGCCTTGTATGTAATCGTTTACAGCAATGCTTGCAGAAAGCAGGGGCAGCTCCCCTTAGTGCGTGGTATGTTCACAGCTATGTTTGCGAAGAAGAAACAAAAAAAGGGCTTGGAGCTAGGTATGTTTACGGCCACGTTTGCAAAATGCAGGGGTAGCTCTCCTTGGAGCTTTAGCTAGTTGACAGCTACGCGACAAAATGCAGGGACAGCTCCCCTTGGAGCTTTGGATGTTTACAGCTATGTTTGCAAAATGCAGGGGCAGCTCCCCTTGGAGCTTTAACTAGTTAACAACTGTGCGGACTAAATGCAGGGGCAGCACTCCTTGAAACTTTGGATGTTTACCACTATGTTGGCTAAATGCAGGGGCAGTTCCCCTCGGGGCTTGGATGTTTACAGCCAGGTTTGCAAAATGCAGGGGTAGCTCCCCTCAGAGCGTGGTAGGTTTACAGCTAGGTTTGCCAAATGCAGGGGCAGCTCCCCTTGGAACTTTGGATGTTTACAGCTATATTTGCAAATACAGGGGCAGCTCCCCTTGGAGCCTTCTACGTTTACAACGATGTTGGCAAAATGCAGGGGCAGCTCCCCTTTGAGCTTCGTAGGTTTACTGCTAGGTTTGCAAAACGCAGGGGTAGCTCCCCTTTGGAGCTTTGGATGTTTACAGCTATGCTTGCAAACTGCAGGGGCAGCTCCCCTGGGAGCTTTTGAAGTTGGATGTTTACAGGTGTGGTCGCAAAATGCAGGGGCAGCTCCCCTGGGAGCTTTGGATGTTTACAGCTATGTTGCAAATGCAGGGTCAGCCCCCCTTGGAGCCTTGGATGCTTACAACTATGTGTGCAAAATGCAGGGACAGCTTCCCTTTGAGCTTTGTTGGTTTACAGCTAGGTTTGCAAAACGCAGGGGTAGCTCCCCTGAGCTTTGGATGTTTATAGCTATGCTTGCAAAATGCAGGGGCGGCTCCCCTTGGAGCCTTGGAAGTTTACAGCTATGTTTGCAAAATGCAGGGGCAGCTCCCCTGGGAGCATTGGATGTGTACAGCTATGTTTGCAAAATGCAGGGGCATTTCCCCTTGGAGCTTTGTATATTTACAGCTAGGCTTGCAAAGTCAGGGGCAGCTCTCCCTCGGAGCGTGGTTTGTTTGCAGCTGAGATGGGGAGTGCAACCGAAGATCTCCTTTCGAGCTTGCTTGTTCGCATTTGCTTGTTAGCACCGTAGCTCAGGCACCCAGCAGGTCCTGACTGGCCTCTAGCGCATACTCCCGGCCACATTTATTGCCTGTCGCAGGATAGGGGCCTCACCCCATATATATTTTTTTTTGGACGATCGGCGGGCGGGAAGCCGTCATCGACCTAAGAGGCAAAATACAAGAATAACTGAGAAACTAATAATTGTATACAACGCGCCAACCCTTTGGCTCTGTTGTCGGCTCTGCGGGGGGCACCCAGGTATCCCCCTCGTGCGAACACCACCCGTGGAAGCGAAACAGTTGTGACGGCGTATTCAGTAGTGCCCAGCACCAGCAGGACCTACCAATCAGGGGAAAGCCTAGCAGTCCTTCATGGCAATTCCCTTGGTAGACCCCCTCAAGCTGACACAGGATCTGGCCACCAGGAAGGGGCCTGGATGGCAGCTCCAGGTCACCGGAAGGTGGTCAGGGTTGACCCGCAAGAGATGCATGTGCGGTGGAGCCTGTGACTAAACGGCCACCCCTTGGGGCCAGAGAAAGCGGTCTTGAGGGGCAGGTGGTCCTTAGTTGGAGGCTTGCACCGCAAACTATGAATGTGAGACCGTCCGTGCCCGGCGAAGGTGTCCATAGTACCAGGCGGGTAGCTAGTCACACTTGTATCCAACACGACAGCCCTTCGGCTGTTGTCTGCCCGGCTTGGGGCGCCCAGGTATCCCCCCGTGCGAACACTACCCGCGGAAGCTGACAAGTCGTCAGCGTATTCAGTAGTGCCCAGCACCAGCAGGAGCTACCAACCAGGGGAAAGCCTAGCAGTCCTTCATGGCAATGCCCTTGGTAGACGCCCTCAAGCTGACACAGGATCTGGCGGCCAGGAAGGTGCCCGGACGGCAGCTCCAGGCCGCCGGAAGGTGGTCAGGGTTGACCCGCAAGAGATACATGTGCGGTTGAGCCTGTGGCTAACGACCACCCCTTGGGGCCAGAGAAAGCGGTCCTTAGTGGCAGGTGGTCCTTGGCTGCAGGCTTGCACTGCACAACCATTATGAATGTGAGACCGTCCGTGCCCGGCCAAGTGGTCGGTAGTACCAGACTGGTCGCTGGTCATGGTGGTCTTTAGCTACTGGTTTCACTGTATACCGAATCAGGCATGCCATCACAGGTCTACAGCGAACAGCACAGAGATCGACGGGACCAAGAATAGGGGATAGCGTGCGGCGAGGCCACCCCCATTATTTTTGGGAGGCACGGCTTCATGTTAGAGCAGTAAATTGCAGTTAGGGACTCAGCTGAGTCAAGCTGGACTCAGCGTGTCAAGTTTGGCATAATACAATAAGCGCGCTATCCCCAAACAGTTGTGTGGTTATTGTGTGAGTGTATATGCAGGAGTCCGCGGTCACGTGAGGGGGGAGTGATAAATGGAAGTTTCCGGAGGAGGAAGGAGGAAACTGTAGTTATCACCAACCCTCACCGCGCCCAGCTCACGCCGCGACGGCGTGCGACCTGAGCTGGGCGCCCTGCCCAGTATGGAACTGTCCTCAAGCCAGTCACGTATTTGGCAGCCCAGTGAGCTGTCTACCGGATCGCAGCATTTAGAAGCGCCAAATGCGGCAGGGCCAGTCTCAGGCTGGCCGCATAGGCGGCAGGCCGGCGGGCGACCGGCAAGGCTGCATTCGCATTTGGATCACCGAAGTGATACAGGTGCTTCGACGGCACTCCGTGGCGCATCAAGGAGGCATCTGGGGCCCAGGCAGCCCGCCCGTAAGCGCACCACCGTATCAGGTATGCGCAGGTGGAGCAGCAGAGCAAGATGTGTGCCGGACACTCACCATCATCCGGTCGACTGCATGGTTGTGCGACTTTACACAGCCGTCACTCATTACTTGCTATTGCTTGCAGAAGGCCAGAATTTTTTTTTCTTTTTTCGCTCTTTCCCTTCTTCCAGGCACGGCTTCATGTTAGAGCAGTAAATTGCAGTTAGGGACTCAGCTGAGTCAAGCTGGACTCAGCGTGTCAAGTTTGGCATAATACAATAAGCGCGCTATCCCCAAACAGTTGTGTGGTTATTGTGTGAGTGTATATGCAGGAGTCCGCGGTCACGTGAGGGGGGAGTGATAACTGCTTGTTCTTGGTTGATTCTTCGTGTCTTTTCCCGGGTGTCTTTTCCGTTGTCTTTTTCTCGAGTCTTGTTTTTGTCTCCCTCCTCCTGCGCCCTCGTCATTTGTTGGTATAATATAAGAATTGAAGATACAATCAAGAGTTTGCGTTGCTGTGTGGCGGGGGCCAGGGGGAGAACACTATTTCATACAGGCATACAGGCATACAGGCAGACAGGCATACAGACACACAGGCATACAGGCAGACAGGCACACGGGCATACAGGCAGACAGGCACACGGGCATACAGGCATACAGGCATACAGGCGCAGCCCAAGATGGTGCTAAACTGACCGTGTATCTTTGAGGCAAGCAGCCAGTCTAAACTGCTTCAGGTGTCGCAGACATATTCCCAAGCAGACAATGACCGGCTTTGGTAATTCCTTCACAAACTCCCAATGTTCTCCTGGATGTGAACAAAACCAAACAATTCCTTTGATTCGTTCTAACCTCTGAAGATGATCATGGCTGGGAGCCGTTCGAAGAATATCGCATACGTAAAGTATTGGGAACAACGCACACACGTACACACGTACACACACACACACGCATGCACGCACACATGCACGCGCACGCGCACGCGCACGCACACGCACACACACACACACACACACACACACACACACACACACACACACACACACACACACACACACACACACACACACACACACACACACACACACACACACACACACACACACACACACACACACACACACACACACACACACACACACACACACACACACACACACACACACACACACACACACACACACACACACACACACACACACACACACACACACACACACACACACACACACACACACACACACACACACACACACACACACACACACACACACACACACACACACACACACACACACACACACACACACACACACACACACACACACACACACACACACACACACACACACACACACACACACACACACACACACACACACACACACACACACACACACACACACACACACACACACACACACACACACACACACACACACACACACACACACACACACACACACACACACACACACACACACACACACACACACACACACACACACACACACACACACACACACACACACACACACACACACACACACACACACACACACACACACACACACACACACACACACACACACACACACACACACACACACACACACACACACACACACACACACACACACACACACACACACACACACACACACACACACACACACACACACACACACACACACACACACACACACACACACACACACACACACACACACACACACACACACACACACACACACACACACACACACACACACACACACACACACACACACACACACACACACACACACACACACACACACACACACACACACACACACACACACACACACACACACACACACACACACACACACACACACACTGGCCTGTCACTCACCACCATGCTGACGAGCTGAGGGATGGCCGTGCCGATGCTGCGAATGCTGGTGCAGCCCCACTCCACTGGTGGTGGCCTCACCAGTAACAACTCCGTCATCGTTGTCCTCATCGCTACTACTCTCTCCATCGCTAAGCTGATCTACCGACGACGAGATGACCGACAGCTGATAGAAGTCTGCAAGGCAGCCATGCGAGGTGCCGTAATCGTTCCACCCCGTCGGCACCTCCTCCAGACGAACAAGATCGCCCTGAGACTTCCTGCATGCCAACATATGTACAAAGAGAAGATAGCAATACAGTCAGCCCTCACATAACCGCACACATCCGTTTTCCACGAAAATATCCGGATAGGCGAGGGAACCGGATTATCGAACACACATACTGTATGCATGCATCGCATATGCTGTAAATCGGTAACCAACGATTTTCTTCCGGATGGCGAGGGATCCGGATAAAAGAGGACGGGATAAGCGAGGTCTGACTGTACGTCTAAACAACGAGAATGCCTGCCCGGCATCCAACACATGCACTTCATCTACTGTCTCACATATAATTTTTTAGGCGTCTTAAAATGTCCGTGTCGGGGACCGGCCAGGTTTCAGGTGTAATGTAGAATTACCGGTAGGTGACCAGCCTACCCTTCACTGCATGTAATGTGTACTCTAGTGGTAGGTGACCAGCCTACCCTTCACTGCATGTAATGTGTACTCTAGTGGTAGGTGACCAGCCTACCCTTCACTGCATGTAATGTGTACTCTAGTGGTAGGTGACCAGCCTACCCTTCACTGCATGTAATGTGTACTCTAGTGGTAGGTGACCAGCCTACCCTTCACTGCATGTAATGTGTACTCTAGTGGTAGGTGACCAGCCTACCCTTCACTGCATGTAATGTGTACTCTAGTGGTAGGTGACCAGCCTACCCTTCACTGCATGTAATGTGTACTCTAGTGGTAGGTGACCAGCCTACCCTTCACTGCATGTAATGTGTACTCTAGTGGTAGGTGACCAGCCTACCCTTCACTGCATGTAATGTGTACTCTAGTGGTAGGTGACCAGCCTACCCTTCACTGCATGTAATGTGTACTCTAGTGGTAGGTGACCAGCCTGCCCTTCACATGCAGTGTGTACTCTAGCGCCTTTTAGGTGTAATGTAAATTTAGGTGAATGGCTTTCCTCCAGAAATTAAAATTACACCGAAAATAACGTGTTATACCGTACTTAATGATGTATTGTATTGTATTGTATTGTATTTATTATTTAAAGGATTTCCCAAAGGCATAGCCGTAGCGCCATTGCACTCAACCTGAGCACCCGGCGCTTAACATCATACATTGAATTCAACTCAAGCAACTTGCTTACATCCTGCAGCCTCGGGAGTTAATAATTCGACCTTTTCTTCGCCCTCCATGTACTCAAAGGGTGCGGTCGAATGTTCCCTCGCTTCTCGGAGAAATATGTCCTGGAAGTCGAAGAAATCGGAATAATTTAGGAGCAGGTGTCGAAGATTTTTCGCACATGAGAAGCGCCGAAGAGGCCGCGATCATGCAGTAGTTTGCACGCGCTGACCCAAAATACGGGAATCTTTCAACCACCTTTCAAGGTCGGGGATCTTGGAGAGTTTCGGAGAATCTCCTAAAGTTCACAAAGGATATTAGCGGAACACCTCTCCAAATTTTAGCAGAATCACGATCTTTTCCAAGAAAATTCAAGAAACACCGTAAGAACTCTTCCTCTTGCAGGACTCCTTGAATAACACCTACAGGCCGTTTCAGAATACCGCTTTCTGTGATGTGATATGCGACTTGCGATAATGAATTTCGCAAAAGTCGCACTTTGGTCCACTTGTGGCCTTGCGACAGTACGCGGCAGGCATTTTCTTGCCGCGAGTGTTGTATATAATTATGGCGCATGTCGCGTCGCAAAAAGTGGTACGAGGTGATTTGGCTTTTTTTAACATTTGGCATTTTTTAACAAATGTGTAAAATTTGCTTTTCTTCTGGCTGTTTCTCTGCTCCGGATGGCTGTATCGAAACATGGGTGGTGGCAAATGGGAGCCAGTTTATCGTAGATCAACATTGACCAGAAAATGTGGTGCATATAATTTAATTCTCCCTGCCACGTTGGTATAACTAGTGGTGGGTGCTTTGCCATTTTGTGTAAAATGTGTAAAACTGAGCCCCTGAATGGACGAGGAGGGCAGTGAATTGCTTCCGCAGGGCCTTTGGACGACGTCAGGCCGTCTTGCCATCACTAGAGACAGTAATGAAGAACAGTAGGTCACGGAATGCACTCTGTGAGAACGAAAACATCGCTGCGATGCTATGCTATCTATCCAATTCCACCGTATAACACAGCCACTAGTTACAAATACAAAAACACGGCTTTCGCAGCATACAATGCAGTTCACTCCTCTGTTGACAGATTAATTTTCATCCACTAGCAATCCTTTAAGTGATATCTATTAACTTCAGAACATTGATGACCGAATATCCCAGTTTATGATGCCATTTTACAAATTTGTTAAAAAATGACACACCAATTATTTGAATCCTGAGAATACTATGAATGTGGGACATGATTCAAGACACTTTCCAAAGTGGGATCATTCCCATTTTTGGACACACCGGGCATGAAGGATAGCACTTCCACTTGCAACAATTCATTTGGACGTAGCTTGTCTAGAAGTGACTGAACAAACGTCATTTTACAACCATGTTAAAAAAAGCCAAACCACCTCGTATTGTGAATGAAGCGGGATTCACAGAAGCTTTTTTGTGATGCGACACGCGATGCGACAGGCGCGAAACCGGGAAAACCCCAAATCGCAGCCATGTCGCGGCCCACGCAACTGCCGCAACTGGGCCATCGCAGAAGTTGAGCTTGGCTCAACTTTTGCGATGCGATGCGATGCGACAAGCGATTTGGTGTACGATTTTGACCTTTTCTACAGCAAAGTTGTACAAAGGTGCAAGAGTTGCCCATAAAATTTTACAAGTTGTGTCAAACCGCGCGAATATCATGGTGACGTACCCAAATCAGCAAAACTTTGTCGCATCGCTGACTTCTTCTGTGAATGGTATTTCGCGAGTTCGCATCGCACGCATCCATCGCAGATCGCGTCGCATCGCGTGTCGCATCGCAAAAAAAGTTTCTGTGAATCCCGCTTGAGTCTCGCCTTTACATTGCTGCTTGTAATGAAGTCTTTTTCAATATCCACCTTCCTGACATAATGCGATCATTAAAAAAAGAAATGTTCCCACACCGGGAATCGAACCCGGGCCGCGGCGGTGAGAGCGCCGAATCCTAACCACTAGACCATATGGGAGACACGATAACATGCTGAGGACATTCCGAACATCAAGAATGCAGAACACCCAGCTAGCTAGTGGTTCAGGAAATACATCACAGATGAGAGAGAGAGTAACAAAGGAGTAGTAATATTTCCACTCGCCCAAAAAGTGGCTGGAAGACCGAAGTGCCCATAACTTGGGTATCCGGAAAACATGAACATGTATTCCGCATACTATACAGAATGCAAACTTTCGATTGGCACACCTCAACTTCAGCAGAATCACTCCTTTCGCAAAACAAAATTAGCAGTTTCCACTACTGGGGAGGAATTATCACCAACCGAAGGGGGCCCAGGGTTATAGACAAAGGGGGCGCAGCGCCCTCCTACTCTGATTGAGTGCCCCCAGTGAAAAAGTGCCACCACCCCCCCCCCCCCCTCCCCCCCCCCCCCCCTACTCACCACCACTGATTTGTCGATGTTCATGTTTGCTCATGCCATTCAACGAAAATACAGTCAATAGCCATTACTAGAGGATTCACAAAAGCACATTTAGTCTGGGGAGAAATCAGGGGTTCGGCCCCGTACGTTGTCTTTTATATGGCAAGACAAATTTGGAAAATGGAAAACTGCGTCACGGGGTAACCGCTTCCCCTGCCCCCCCCCCCCCTACTTATTTTGACCTTGCTAGAACCCTGGGGGCGTATTAATACGTATTACCAGTACATGAAGTGTATATGTACCTGATGCTGCAATAAGATGCGATGGCAGCTCTACTCCTTGCACCGAAGTCTGCAGGAATGATGAGCTCGCAGGGGACGATGTGAGCAAGGTGTGTGAGCAGCTGAGTGCGCGACGTATCGTCTGCAAACACTGAGTAGACAAGATCACCTGTCGCTGGTTGTACGGCCTAGGTGGTGGAGAAAGAGAAAGAGAGAGAGAGAGAGAGAGAGAGAGAGAGAGAGAGAGAGAGAGAGAGAGAGAGAGAGAGAGAGAGAGAGAGAGAGAGAGAGAGAGAGGGAGGGAGGGAGGGAGGGAGGGAGGTAGGGAGGGAGGGAGGGAGGGAGGTAGGGAGGGAGGGAGGGAGGGAGGGAGGGAGGGAGGGAGGGAGGGAGGGAGAGAGAGAGAGAGAGAGAGAGAGAGAGAGAGAGAGAGAGAGAGAGAGAGAGAGAGAGAGAGAGAGAGAGAGAGAGAGAGAGAGAGAGCGCGAGAGCGAGAGCGAGAGAGACAGAGAGAGACCAACAAAAACATAACCACACATACCAGACAGAGTAGAGAAAGGCAAAAAGACATACTAGTAGGCCACACACAAAGGCACAATAGATTCACTGTATATAGAAACGACCCTAAACAAAGTAAAAGTGGGGAGGCTTCCTAAACAAGTAAATAAAGACTCAACCGCTGCAGTACACGACGGCACTGGAGAAAACTACAAGGAGAAACGTAGGAGACCACCCACAACACTACGAGTATGTACTGTTTACACTCCAGAAAATATGATATCATTCAAAACTTATTATGATACTTACTACAACTGCCACGTGCTCTGCAGAAGCCTCTTGCCGCCGCTGCTGCTGCTGCTGCTGGTGGTCACGGGATGTTGTAGACACCTCCGCATTTAGATCCTCTCTGGCAGCATCGACGATGAACAACATGAAGCTATCGGTCGTACTCGACCATGCCTCAGCAGCCGATGCCTGGCCATCAGCAGCTCCGACGCCGAAGCCATCGCCAGCCATGTGACCACCGTCGCCGCCAGCAGCAGTGATGACATCATCACCAGAACCGATAACATCGTGTTCACCGTCGGCACTGCCGTTCTGCGAAGCAGCATAGCGGTCTAGCGACGACGACGATGCTGCTGCTCCTGCTGATCGCGGTGACACTGCCTTTGTCGTGTTCTTGTTATACGTTTGATTGGGTAGTGGCGAGTCAAACTGTACTGGGACGATACTGGTCAAGGAGTACCCCCGTACATGTACTGGGAATGGACAAGGACCATGAGAAAGTCAACAACAGGTCTCTAGCAAGATTCGAAAAGGAGAGTGATGTGGCCCTAGCATGCAGCTTAAAGGCAAGCTTTCTTGATAATGACGCCCATCGTGCACTGCTAGACTGCACAGCCGTACTTCCACAACGATATAGTCGTGGACAAGTGTGCAGGTGACAGACAAGCAGATATGAACTTACTTGTATAGGATAACAAACAAGCAACGCGAGACAGTAATATTCAATCAAGGCTATGATTGTCACGAGAAAAGGTTACGGTTGCTTTACATTGGACTTCCTTGTGTTTCGTGATGAGTCACTAATGACGGCACACCTAATCTTACTTATAACATTGTGGGATAACCGTCCGTCTACTTTTCTCTGCCCTCCGCCAACTTAGACATGCCATCCTATAAATGAAGCTACAGGAAGCCTCACCACTGCTGCTCCTTTATTTCCATCCTTTGTTTTGTCTCCAAGATAACTCCACATGAATACATGTACGCTGTTAAAGGGGAAGTTAAGGCAAAAATCAAAATTTCACCAGTTGTAGTCATCGGGGTGCTGAGTCGAATGGTCGTGATCCGAGGAAGATGAGACGCTCCCTTCCTACTTGAATCCCAATCGAACTCGCGCACTTCAACCGAAACTGGGTGACTGCGCCCTACTAGATGGGGATTTGTATGAAAAATGTCACTAAAAGTGCCATTTCGTTCTTATAAAAGCATGGATGACCGCAATTGGCCCATATGTTGTAGTCTTTTGGACGCTGAGTCGATTGGTTTTGGTCCGAAAAGGCTGCGATGCAGCGCTCCTCCTTTATTCCCAACCGAACATGGTTGAGCAAGCGGTCACGTGCTCCTGCGTACACCAGTCACCTGGTCACCGTGCCTGCAGGGTACAACTTACTAGCCTGTTTGACCTTTTTTGGGTGCAGTCCTGTCACTCGAGTTGAACCTTGGTGTGAAAGTTGTCGCCTGCTGGCGTGGTGACCAGGTGATTTGGGCACCCAGGAGCACGTGACCACTTGTTCAACCATGTTCGATTGGGAATAAAGGAGGAACGCTGCATCGCAGCCTTTTCGGACCAAAACCAGTCGACTCAGCGTCCAAAAGGCTACAACATATGGGCCAATCGCGGTCATCCGTGCTTTTATAAGAACGAAATGGCGCTTTTAGTGACATTTTGCATACAAATCCCCATCTCGTAGGGCGCAGTCACCCAGTTTCGGTGAAAGTGCGCGAGTTCGATTGGGATTCAAGTAGGAAGGGAGCGACTCAGCTTTCTCGGACCAAGACCATTCGACTCAGCACCCCGAAGACTACAACTGGTGAAATTTTAATTTTTGCCTTAACTTCCCCTTTAAAGGTTTGAAGTATTAGTTGGTCATGCATGGCTCAAGACAAGAGTAGTGTTCTGCTGGCAGAACAGTACATGGACGCCAGTGCAAACAAACTGTGTCCCGATATTCATGAACCCAGGATGAGGAAGGGCACAGTATACACGATGGGGTAGGAGCGTGACCGGGACCCTGAGACGAGGGAGAGGGGGGGGGGGGGGGGAAGAGCAGGACAAGAAGGATATCTTCACCGATAAGTGTTGCTCGCGTGTACAGCTCGCTTAGACTCCTCTCAAACGGCGCGCCCTTCTTGTCACTGAGTGCCTTGTGTGCCGCGCTCTCCACCTGCCGCACCACACCCACCTTGTAACCTGCCATTACCAGCCTGAACAAGATAGGCATACAAACACACACACACACAGTTCATTATTCTTGCGAGAACTGTGGCAATACGCTCCGTGAGAAGGCAGATACAGCATGTGCCCGTGGTGAAGTAAATACAGCTAAAGAAACAAACATGCGCGCACGGTTATTGACACCAGAGGACAGGCGCAAGCAGTTTTTGATTGATCCGACCATACCCTAGTCTTTCATACAGTTTGTGTATGATATGGAGGGTAGTCACATGACATTCATACAGTTTGTGTATGATATGGAGGGTAGTCACATGACTTTCATACAGTTTGTGTATGATATGGAGGGTATACACATGACTTTCATACAGTTTGTGTATGATATGGAGGGTATACACATGACTTTCATACAGTTTGTGTATGATATGGAGGGTATACACATGACTTTCATACAGTTTGTGTATGATATGGAGGGTATACACATGACTTTCATACAGTTTGTGTATGATATGGAGGGTAGTCA